GCCGATAATAGGGACGACTTGCCGGCGCCCACACGACCCACAACTGCCACCAATGACTGACTCTCTATCTCTATATTGATATTCTTGAGCACAGAATCGTCGCAATTGTTATCCCATTTAAACGAAGCATTTTTAACAATAATAGGAGTCCTTTGATTGGGTTTGTGGTCAACGAAACTCTCATTCACTTCATTAGCTTTTAAATACTTATTCATTCTCTTAACAGAAACTTTACACTAAAATAAAATAAAAAATAATTAGATTTAATTATAAACTAAAATTAATTTTTTTTAACAATTATAGCGGCGGTGACCAGCGCTGGGATGGTTCGTATCGACTCTTCTGTTAAAATGAAAAGTAACATTTAATTTGAAGTTTATTATTAATAATAAATTATTATAATATTAGATCTCAATATACAGTCAATTCACTCACTGATTATATTAAACAACAAAAGGGAAACAAACGCTTTATTCGGGTTCAGAATATTCTGGTCAGACATGTATAGGAATGCCGTAAAACTGCATAAACTAACCTATGGTACAGAAATTTGTTATAAAATATGAAAATTAATAACCAGATTAATTAATTAAACTGATATCACTAACCAGATATGGTGAGGCTGTGGTAATGGCATTCTTAATAACCCCGACCACCATTACATTGATCACCTCACGGCACTCGCTGGCCCTGCGCTCAGATACCCGTTTTATGAACGCCGGTTCCCAGGCGTACAGTTTTAAGACCTTCATGTTATTGATCATCTCCGCGACGACCGACACTCTACTGGCGGTTAATTCAATTATTTTACGCCACAATTTGTTCTCACGGGTCATCACAACTGAATTAATTGGTACCAATAGTATCATAACAGCCACACCGGCCAGAGTGGCGGCGCCCAACTGAGCCCACAATAACCACGTGGCGATTATCACGGTCGTTGGCGACAGCCATAGGTTATTAAAGTACATGATAAATGAGGCCAAATAATACATATCAATGCCCACGAGGCTCACGAGGTCACCAATTGTGTGACTATTGCGACCGGCGCTGGACAGCCGTAGGGACTGGTAGTGTATAATGTAAGTTCAGTTTATTATTGTTTAAATTAGTATATTTTACCTTGTCGTAAATTGCTGACGTGACACATGCTTTGATTTTCATTATCATTACATTCTCGATGTACTTGTATTTGACACTCAACACTGATCCCAACACCGGCGACACAAACATAAGCCCGGCGTACATATAACCCCTCCACACGGGTTCGCCCGTATCGGTGGTGGCCTGAGATGTGATAAATGTGATGAGTCGGTCGAGTAGCAGGGGTTGAGTAAATGTCAGTAAACTTATCACTAATTTAATAAACCCAATGATTACTAGTGTTGGCCAATAGGTCTTCAGTATAACCGGGAATATATTAATCGCATGTTTGGCACTGTTTTGTTGTATTGGTTTCCAGTGTTTATTGAATTGTTTGATGAAAACATTGGTCCGATTCTGTGTGGACAGCGACCACATGTCTTCAGTGGTCAATGGTTTCCGATAGCCATTCATTATCATTGGTGTAAACCATGAAAATGTCAGTTGAGATAAAAATGATGATTGATTCTCGGGACTAGAATTCTGAATGAAGTCATAAATATTTAAGTTTTAAAATTAAATATATTTTTTGTTTTGTATTCAATACTTCTCTGTCGGCAACAGTTGTGAAGACTTGTGTTGAGTCCGCAAAACATGAGAGCAATAATTGAGTGATAATTATTGGGAATGAAAGCGATTTTGTGGTAAATGTGAAGACACTTATACTTGAATCCATCGGTTCCTTGAAATCAATAAATATATTATTGATTTATTTGTTTATAAATATTATTTATAAATATAACTATTAATCATTAATTAATTACATCACTGAATGCAATGTAAAATATAGTCCTTATGTCAAATGCGGTTATGATAGACAAACACAACCAGAATATGAATAAAACGCCCGAAGTATTCATTCCTCTCTTCTTGTAATTGATTGACAAAACAATTGTATAAATCTATTGAATAAATTAAAATATAAATTATTAATTAAGTTTACATTTAATTTTTTAATTCTTACAAAAGTTAATGTCATTATAAAATGTTTAATAATTTCCACTGAATTTTTCGTATAATAAGAAGCGTTTATATAATCGTTGATTTCGATCAAGAGTTGTGAAAAACTCAATATTAATAGCACTCCCGATAAACACTGAAAGTAATTAATTAATTAATTGATTGAACAATTAAACTATTCTAAAATAATTCAATATAAAAATACAATTTTAGTGATAGAGAGTAGAGTCCATGTCGTGGGATGTGATGAACCCCTGGATGTGATCACTTCTGGCGACCGATTGTGCCATTCATACAGTGATGTGACAAATAATATAAGGGATGGGATATAAGGCAACACCAGTGCTGTCTCTTCAAAGCCGGCGCCGAAATCGGGAAATGAATCCATAATTGGAGTCCTATTGTTAAGTAATTTATATAAAATAATAAAAACATTTTTTATAACTTTTTAATTTTTGATTCAAAACTTACCCAAAATTGTAATAATTATGAATGAAATAACAACGAACTCATTGAACAGAATGTTATATTTAAACAAAATTCAAACTAAATTTATGTCAAATACTGTTTTATTTATGAAATGAATGAACAAATAAGATATTTATTTGTAAATACTGTGAACAATGGCATATAAAGTTACATAGCACTGTATTATATGTCAAACGTAAACCATAATTCACAATTATCATTCATATTGTATTTCAAATTATTAGAGTATGATTGGTAACTTTATGACAAAGATTATTTGCCGCTAAATCCAATTTTCAATGGAAAAGTGCAAACAACAATGTGTATTTATATGAGGTACATGTGCTGTTATCACTTATATAATGCAATCGAGTACTGTACTTCAAATACTTTATATTAATCATTGTATTTACATTAATAATATAAAACTTGATAAACTCACAGACAATATTATATTTTAGTTTATCATAAATTAAATTAAAATAAATTGTTAAAAATTAATACTGTATAAGTATAGTTTACTTTTTTAAACATCTTAAACAATGTTTCATTGTAAAGTATATAATGCTCCATGTCCTTGACAAGCAAAATTTTATTATGCTTTTCATGGCTATTAGTTTTACATTTCTAATGCTACAATATATTATATTATGTAGTAATACAGGTAAATGTGACGTACAAATAGTCTGACGTTTACTATACAGTACATTAACACACGTGTTATTTTATTTTACAAGAGTACTCAATCATAATAATTTAATAATATAAATATTATTTAACAGAATGTTCAAATAAAATACAAATGAGTTACAATATTATGTTGTTTTTTAGAGATATTATATAATGTTAAATAAATTAAATATTATGAATAAATAAGCATTGTTAAATTAAGTTATACTCTTGAATAAGTCAATATTTTAAGAATAAGTCATTAATCTGTTTTAGTAATCATATTTGCTGTAAATAATTGTTTAAATTGAGATAAATTTTAGAAAAAATAAAGCCAAGGTTATTTTAATATCTTATAGACGGTCAAATTGATTATCTTTAGTATACAAAATTAATAATTATTGCTTAAATAGTTATGTTATATTTTTTAAATAACTTTATCAACTGTACTGTTTAGACAAAATATTAAAAATTAAATAATATTATGGCCAAAGTTGAATCAAGTTCATTTGTGTCGTTTAAAAAAATCCGATCGAGTAATTTTTAAATAAATCATCTCGATAAAATTTTTCACGTATTGTAGATTATCACTACATTTGTGATACGTGAGCGTGTATGCTATCATCATTATTAACCAGGCGCTAAACGCCAACACTATGTATAATAATTGGCGATTGGACTGTCGGTTACTCTTATCAGTAACTTTTGGTAACAGCGTATGGTAACTCTGACCGTACCCTGTTTTGCAGCGGTTAATCCACACCATTAGCCACACAACTATTGATATACAATAAAGAATACGGACAAATATGAGCACACCTTCAATGAACGGTGTTAAGTAGCCCAACATTGATGTCTCCACCCATCGGCTAACATAATATTTATCAAACGGGAAGTATAGTAAGCACCGAACCATCTCAACCAACGGTGCGATAGGACTGAAAATAATTATATGGGTGACAATAAATATAGATAAACTTTTATGTACTTTTAGAATTAAAATTTATAAATAATGTAAGTTACTACTTTTTTTATAACATCCATGGGTTATGTTAAATAAATTATTGTAGGACTATACTGAATATAATATACTTCATACCTTTGGTCAAATATTAATCCGATTGCAATTAACGTAAACAACACACCAATAATTAATGGCACAGAGTTTTCCGGGAAGTACCGGACGAGTGGGTGATCGGCGACCGCATAGACACCTATTGTTACTACAAAGCCGTGAATCGCGCAATAATTCAGTCGCCAATAGGCTATAGACGGGTCATATTTGTCATCGATTTCATGTTTATCTATAAATAAGCTTATTTTGGTTATTCCTAGTTATTGCATTAAAATTTACATTACTAAACAAATTAACTAAATTAAATAAGTACCTTGCACAAACTCAGGTTTTCTTAAAAGGGTCTTGATATTATTAGGCACGCCACTTACCATGGTCAACTTAGGACATAACACCTTATAAAAATAACTACACTGAAGTGCTATAACATTGTATGTGATTCCGGAGCAGGTAATGCCATTGACATCGCGTGTAATGGTATGTATGTAAGTGCCAAACATACGGTCCCATATCATAAGTAAACCGCCGTAATTGCCTGACTGTCCGGAGCTAATTGACCGGTGATGTGCCCGATGCTGAAGAGGAGTGTTAATCAGGTACTCGAGTCGCCCTAACCCAGGCACCAAACCTGTGTGCAGCCATATCTGATATATGCGGCCAAATTGCATGTGTGCCAGTAATATGGGCGGTGGGATAATCAATGACAACGGTATAGCCATTATCTAGATAAGTTATCATAGTCAATATATGTGTTTAATAAAATTGTCTGTAATTAATAGAGTAGTACATCACAAATAATGAAGTCAATAACTGAGCGCCTGTGCCCAGTGGACAGGTCTGTGTCGGGCCATTGGCTGTGATGGAACTGATGACTGGCCCACAAGAGGTGGATTCGATGCAGTGACCGATGCGACCAATAATAGATAAAGTCGTTTAATATTAGACACACAAACCACGTGTCGGTCGACGACGACAGACAAAACAAATGATAATTGAAGTGAAAGTAATACATTGTTTTGATTACTATCGCCAATAATAGAACTCTGTGTATCAATAAATAAGCTTTATTTGTTTGCTATTTATTGTTGTCAGTATTGAATATAATAAATATTTTACTATAATTATTAATTAAATATACCTTGAGATCGCCACCAATAGTCCTGAGCCTAAATTAAGTATAGTGTTGGTCAGTTTGGTTGGGGCTGAGCCGCGAAACCAATAGATCATTTGCTCAATAAATAGCAATGATGCAAACACCGGCCATACCTATTCACGTAATTAAAACAATTTCGCTATAAAATTGAACAAGTTTACCAAAATTAAATAATTGAAAAGTAATTTACCTCGAGTTCGTAGTTTGGAATGTCATAGGGGGAATTGAATGTTGAACTTCCGGGTTGTATCAAATAAAATATTAGCCCAAACTGATGAAACAAGCCGGTAACAAAGTTCTGGCCACATGATCCAGTTGAATCCATTGCTGTCTGGTTAGTGACCAAGTATGTTAGTAACCGGTGGCTTGGGATACCGGGTCAGCTAAAGTATGTACAGTTTGCATTTACTGCTTTCACAATTAATTGTTTTTTATTGCAAACTTTCCATCATAATAATAATACAAGTTATAATAATTATTTTCATAAACCTATGTATAACTGCATTTCAGTATTCACTACGGTGTAACTATAACGTAAATTGATAAAAGATAGTACAATCTAAATTCACTTTCTTAACAAACATGAGTGAATCAATACAATAATCATGTACCAATAGAATACAATATACTAATCTAAGTCCAAAATGTGTAGTATAAGTATAAGTATCTAAGGTAGATAAAATAGGTGATTCAATTAAGAGATAAGGGTAGCATATCTAACGCTGGAGAGTCATTCATGTGTGAAATCTAAGGTTGGTTAATTACCAAAGTTGTTTAAAGCTATGAAATGCATTGCAAAATACAAAAATGCACATATTTTACTATGGCGAAAATATTAACACATTTTAAGACCAAAAATTGATACAATTTTATTTGCAATTATGACTTAAATTATACATGTTATAATATTGAAGTGATATGAAAATTACACATTATACAAGAATTCTATTAATGTATTATTCATAATGTTATTTAATACTTAATTTCAAACATTGTTTTTATAATTATGAATAACCAAATTGTTTAACACATTATGAATTTGTCTTTACTTACATTCACTTGAATATTGAATTGTGAATAAGATTTACTATTTTGTTATGAAATACATTTTAGATAATGAATAAATGCTAAGAAATATATTGTTGTGTATAAAGAATATTATTTATGGAAAGTCCAGAATTTACATACATCTTAATATTTTAATCAATAGATGTTTCACATTCTACAATTGATTCGATTGTTTCCAAAACTTGTAAATCTAGAAATTAATTTACAAATTTATAATATTTGCAATATTTATACAATTATAATTGTATTAGCATTATGATTTTCGTTGCATTAAATTGTATTCTTAATAGTTTTTACTTTGTATGCAACCATTTTACACAAGTTTTATAAAATATTTTTAAAAATTTACAAATAGACCTAGTTGTAAGCGTTTGTATGTTACAAAATGAAAAATTTATATATGTAAAATTCATTGTAATAAACAACTTAAATTACGTAGGTTAAATACAAGGTTTGTCATAATGCCTACTTTAGTCTTTACAGACATTTAAATGATTGATATGTTTTTTGTGCAAATATTTTTATGTTTAAATAATTTTATTTTATAATTAAATTAAATAATCAAATAAATAAAACAATTGAATAAATAATCAAAATATTCAAATAAAGTAACTTTACTGTACATTAACGCACGTGTTATTTTATTATATTTGAGCATTCAACTATAAAACACAATAATTTAATAAAATGAATATTATTTTACAGAATGTTTAAATACAATACAAATGAGTTACACTAAAATCTTGTGCATTACCCGCGGGTTATACACAGGAAAAAGGCATTTTTAAAATATTGTCATGTGCCCGTTATCTATAAGATGCGGGTTATGTAAAATTAATTAAAATGAGAGCTAAATTTTGAATAAATTTCAGTTCTATTATTTATCATGATATCTTATATTATTTTATTGTAGGTTTAAATAGAAAATTGCGTTTAGTTTTAAAAATATTAACATTTATCTACTGTACAGTATTTCCAGGTAAAATTTTAAAAATTAAATATTTATATGGGTAAAGTTAATTCGATTGAAACACAGCTTCTGTTTTAAAAAATTCCGATCTAGTAATTTTTAAATAAATCCTCTCGATAAAATTATAAAAGTGTTTCAGATTAGCACTACATTTGTGATACCTTAGTGTGTATACTATGATCATTATTAACCACGCACTAAATGCCAACACTATGTATAATAATCGTCGATTTGACTGTCGGCTACTGTTATCAGTAACTTTTGGTAACAGCGTATGGTAACTCTGACCGTACCCTGTTTTGCAGCGGTTAATCCACACCATTAGCCACACAGCTATTGATATAAAATAAAGAATTCGGACAAATATGAGCACACCTTCGGTAACCGGTATTAAATGGCCCGGCATTGACGTCTCTACCCATCGGCTAACATAATATTTATCAAACGGGTAGTAGAGTAGGCACCGGACCATCTCAACCAACGGTGCAATAGAGCTGAAAATAATTATATAAAGAACAATAAATATATATAATGAAAATCTCTAACCACTAATGTTATGTTGAGTTTAAAATTTAAAATATTTATAAATAACGTAAGTTGTTACTTTTTTAATAACATTCAAGGGTTATGTTATAAAAATTATTGTATAAATATTAGTTATAATCAATATAATAAACTTCATACCTTTGATCAAATATTATTCCGATTGAAATTAACGTAAACAACACACCAATAAGTAATGGCACAGAGTTTTCCGGGAAGTACCGGACGAGTGGGTGATCGGCGACCACATACAGGCCTATTGCTACTACAATGCCGTGAATCGCACAATAATTCACTCGCCAATAGACTATAGACGGGTCATATTTGTCATGGATTTCATGTTTATCTATAAATAAACTTATTCCTGGTTATTAGTAATAACTTATTACACATAATAATTTAAATTTACATTAATAAACTAATTTACTAAGGCTAATCAAATTAGTACCTTGTACGGGCTCAGGTTGGCTGAAAAGTGTCTTGATTTTATTAGGCACGCCATTTACCATGGTCAACCTATGCCATAACACTTTATAATAATAACTACACTGAAGTGCTATAACATTGCATGTGATTCCGAAGCAGGTAATTCCGGGGGCATCGCGTGTGTGGTGTATATATGTGCCAAACATACGGTCCCATATCATAAGTAAACCGCCGTAATTGCCGGACTGTCCGGAGCTAATTGCCGATGTGTGATGTGTCCGATGCTGACGGGGAGTGTTGATCAGGTACTCGAGTCGCCCTAACCCGGGCACCACACCTGTGTGCAGCCATATCTGGTATATGCGGCCAAATTGCAAGTGTGCCAGTAATATGGGCGGTGGGATAAACAGTGATAACGGAATGGTCATCATCTAGATAAATTACTACATTTAATATATGTGTTTATTAAATGACTGTAATTTCAAATACATCACAAATAATAAAGTCAATAACTGAGCGCCTGTGCCCAGTGGACAGGTCTGTGTCGGGCCATTGGCTGTGATGAAACTGATGACTGGCCCATAAGAGGTGGATCCGATGCAGCGACCGATGCGACCAATAATAGACAAAATCGTTTAATATTAGGCACACAAACCACGTGTCGGTCGACGACGACAGACAAAACAAATGATAATTGTAGTGAAAGTAATACATTGTTTTGATTATTATTGCCAATAGTAGAACTCTGTGAGTCAATAAATAAGCATATTTTTACAATGTAAAATAAATTAATATTTTTTCTGCTTGGTCAATTTATTTTATGTTACCTCTGTATTTATTATTGTCATAAATAAATATAATAAATATTTTACTGTAATTACATATACCTTGTGATCGCCACCAATAGTCCTGAGCCTAAGTTAAGTATAGTGTTGGCCAGTCTGGTCGGGTCTGAGCCGCGAAACCAATGGACCAGTTGCTCAATAAATAACAATGTTGCAAACACCGGCCAGACCTATTCACGTAAGTAAAACAATTTCGTTATCAAATTAAACATGCTTTTAAAAAATAAATAATTGAGAGGTAATTTACCTCGAGTTCGTAGTTGGGAATGTCGTATGGGGAGCTAAATGTGGAACTTGTGGGTTGTATCAAATAAAACATTAGGCCAAACTGTTGAAACAAGCCGAT